TGTTGTTAATTTGTTTGAAGACCGAAGAAAGCCACTTGCTGCTGGTCTGCAGCAAACAGAAAAACAAAAACTTGAAAACATTTTAATCTTAATCTTAATCGGAATAAATTAGCAAAGATTGGAAACAAATAATTCGCAAAGTCTCACCTTTTTCTCGGAGTCAGAAATGGGCTTTTCGGGTTCAATTAATTCGCAAAGAGCTTTTTCTTGCTGCACTGCGTCGGCAGCAGCAGCAGCAGCAGCAGCAGCAAGAGGCTGCTGCTGCTGCTGCTGCTGCAGAGCTGCGCCTTTCTTGTCTTGGTCTCCATTTCCGGAATTGTTTTTCGATTTCAAAATGCATTTGCTGGCCAGAATTTTGAAGGACTTTTGCTTGGCGATCTTTTCTTGAACTGCTGCGCAAAGCGCGGCCACCAGCGCTGCGCGCGAAGAGGAATCTTGTTCAGGTTTGGAAGTTGAATTTTTGGCATTTGCGGAATTTCGGGCTGAAAAAAAGCGAAAAAAAGGGAAAATAGATTTAAAAATAATAAATATTAATTTTAAGAAGCACTTGAACTGCATTTCGAGCGTTTTCAGCTCTCAATTCCGAGCTTTCCTCCCCAAATGCTCCACGATCTGCTGCTGCTGCCTCACTCGCTTTCGAAAGTTCTTCAGCTTTCGCTGCAGCAGAAATTCCCTCTTTGGCCTTCAGCCGCGGCTCGTAAAGCGGCGCCAGCTTGGAGGACAGCGAGAGCGTCATTTTCGGACTTGCGTTTCAAGTTGAACTCGCGGGTCTGCAAACCACGGAAAGCGGCGGAAATATCCTTTTAAACGGGAAAAAAGAGACATTTGCCAAAAATTAACTCTAATTAAATTCGTTTTTCCGACTTTTTCACGTTTTTAGCCGGTCAAAGGAGGGCGAGAAGGCTCAGATCGCTCAAGACGAAGTGACCACTTCGAGGCTTACTTGGAGTTTCACGAAGAGCTCTGCAGACTCGTTGAAACTGAATTTCAAAAAGTTGAATTTGTTTTTGTTCAAAAGTTGAATTTGTTTTTGCAAAAGAAGTGTTTGAGGTTTCCAGTTGGTCGCTGGCGAGCTTGGCGAGGCGACGGCGATGGACTGGTCCGATGCAATTCAAGACAAGACGGAGCGGATTCGAGAGTCGATTTCGAAAAGAATGCGAAGTACGAGATTTATAAGATAAAGATCTCACTGGAGTTTGCAAAAGAAAAGTAAAATAAAGTCCAAAAATATAAATGAATGAAGATCTGAGCCTGCGGCCGCCGCGCCGCAGACACTGGCCACGCCTGCTAGCCAGCGGGGCCCGGGTGTCCATTCAGCTTTCCGGTCTGAGGCCTCTATAAATTGCAAATTCAAATTCAGTTCAAATTCAAATTCAAATTCATTTTAAATTTGCAAATTCAAATTCAATTTCCATTTCAAATTCAAAATGGAATTCTTTTCATGCAAACAAAGCCAATTAAAACGCGCTTTCCCCCCAATCCCGCACAGGTTCTGTCTTGAGCGTTCTGTCGGCCTCGAGAAAGCGAAGCCAATTGCAGCTTTCCGCTGTCTGAACAGTTCAAAATGTCGGAAATATCTTTTAATTCAAAAACGAGTTCAAATTAATCGAAAATATATTTCATTTCATTTAATTCAACTTTCCAGCTGTCACCTTCGCTGCAGCAGAAAGAGCTTCCCGAGACAGGCACCAGCCGCAGCTGTCTGTGCAAATTGAAGGTCCTGAAAGATGAAACTTGGAAGTTTTGAAGTTCAATTTATCTTTTTAGAATATCTAATTCATCTTTAAGAATATCTAATCCATCTTTAAGAATATCTAATTCATCTTTTAGAGTTTTCGCCGGCTCAGCCAGCCCCCAGAGTTCAAATTTGGCGGAAGCCAGCAGCAGCAGCAGCAGCAGCAGCAGCTGCTGCTGCTGCTGCTCGAAATTTCGTGCAAAACAAGGAAGTTCACTTACAAGTGAAGAGGATTTCACATTGAAGACGCTAGAGAGTGAAGCGGCCTGCTGCACTAAGCAGCAGCAGCAGCAGCAGCAGCAGCAGCAGCAGCAGCAGCGGAGGTGCACATCAGCTCCGCTGCTGCTGCTGCTGCTGCTGCTGCTGCTGCCAGCACTAGACTTCGCTTTAAACGCGTTTTGCAGACTTTGCAAAACTTGAATTACAAACAAAGCTAATGAAGCAGCACGGGCAATAACAAATAGTTATAAATAACAATCCAGAATAAACAAATAACACAAAGTGGAAATATAAATAAATTTGCAAATATTATTATTTAATGCAAATGCAATAAAAACAGAAACAAACAACTGCTGCTGCATGCACTTCACATGCGAGCTATTATGGGGAAAAGGGCCAGCAAGGACTTGCGGCTAAATTGCCTGAAGAGGAAAAACAAAAAGAATTCAAATAAACAAATTATTTGTCATTTTAAAGAATTAAAATACAATAAAGTTTTTAAAAGAATTAAACTCCAATAAAGCTTTTAAAAGAATTAAAATACAATAAAGTTTTTAAAAGAATTAAACTCCAATAAAGCTTTTAAAAGAATTAAACTGCAATAAAGTTTTTAAAAGAATTAAACTGCAATAAAGCTTTTAAAAGAATTAAACTGAAATAAAGTTTTAAAAGAATTAAATTGCAATAAAGCTTTAAAAGAATTAAATTGCAATAAAGCTTTTAAAAGAATTAAACTGCAATAAAGCTTTTAAAAGAATTGAATTACAATAAAGTTTTTTAAAGAATTAAAATGCAATAAAGTTTTTTAAAGAATTAAAATGCAATAAAGTTTTTTAAAGAATTAAAATGCAATAAAGCTTTTAAAAGAATTAAATTACAATAAAGTTTTTTAAAGAATTAAAATGCAATAAAGTTTTTTAAAGAATTAAAATGCAATAAAGATGTCCAAACATTCGCATTTCCTCTCTAAATTGGAGTCAAGTTGCATTTAAGTTCAAGCTTCGAAATTAATTGAAATTGCATTTACGTTTTAAAATTAATTCAAATTGCATTTAAGTTTTAAAATTAATTCAAATTGAACTTAAGTTTTAAAATAAATTCAAACTAAGTTTTAAAATAAATTCAAATTAAGTTTAAAATTAATTCAAACTAAGTTTAAAAATTAATTAAAACTGAACTTAAGTTTAAAAATAAATTCAAATTAAGTTTAAAATAAATTCAAATTAAGTTTAAAATAAATTAAAATTAAGTTTAAAATAAATTAAAATTGCATTTAAGTTTTAAAATAAATTAAAATTAAGTTTAAAATAAATTCAAATTAAGTTTAAAATTAATTAAAATTAAAATTAATTAAAATTGCATTTCAATTCGAAGTCCACTCACTTCGCGTGCTGGGCATTTGGCTGCGACGTCTCGAGGAGCGCCGCGTGGCGGAACTTGTGAATTTTGTTCAAGAACTCCTGCGCGGGAAAAAACAAAAAAAGAAATAAAAGAAATAAAGAAAAAAGAAAAAAGAAATAAAGAAAAAAGAAAACAATAAGTCCATTTGAGTTCAATTAAAAGTCGAAGGGAAAACACTCTTGGGAAAGAAAGAAAGTAAAAAGAAAAAAAGAAAAAAGAAAACAATAAGTCCATTTGAGTTCAATTAAAAGTCGAAGGGAAAGCACTCTTGGGGAAGAAAGAAAAAAAGAAAAAAGAAAAAGAAAAAAGAAAACAACAAGTCCATTTAAGTTCAATTAAAAGTCGAGTTGGAAGCACTCTGGTGCCCTTGATGGCCGGGAAAGCGGGAAGTTCAACTTTTTCGAAACTTGAATTTGAAAATTCAAATTCAGTTTTCTTTTTGCAAATTCAAAAACAAAACTTACTTGCAAATGCGCCTCTTCGCGGTAGTGCGGAGTCAACTCCAGCAAAGTGTCTTTGTCGATTTCCGTCGAAGTTCCGCCGCCGGCTTTCCGCAGAACGCCGAACGCGACGAAGCCGTCTATTGCGCGACTCAGAGTGGGAAAAGAAGTGCTTTCGTAGTAAGACTGCACAAAAAGGCAAAACGTAACATATTTCAATAAAAAATTTGCAAAAAAACATTTAAAAGTCTTAATTTGGAGTCACTTTGAGAAATTTCAGCTCGGGACTCGAAAGATTGAGGTGTACAGACACCCCAGGAAGCGCAAACGGGAAATCAGGTTCTGCTGGAAAGCGGCAGTTTTGATCGAACAGAAATGAATTTGGAAGTCAGTTGCACTTATTTGAATTAATAATTTTCATTTTAAATGCCTTTTTCTTCTTTTTTCTGCAAAAGAAGCTCACCAGAATGCCTTCTTTGCACAGACCGTCAGCAAGCCAGTGCGCCCTTGCCACCAGCTGCTGCTTCCTCAGTTGCGGCGTCGTCAACTTCGGCGCCATTGCTGATTCGCAACAAAAGAAAGAAACAAAAAAGAAATAAACAAAAAAAGAAACAAAAAAGAAATAAACAAACTTTTGTGTGCACAGACTTTGTTTCTAAAGGCCTTTGTTCTCTTATCAGGAAGAAAGCAGCGACTCCGGCGCATGCAAGTCTGCGGTGTACGTACACCTGAGCCTGCGCAGCCCGGCTCTTTGAATAGCCAGCAGCGAGGAAAGAAGAAACAAAACAATTCCAATTCTTTTCTGAATGCAATAAGCCCCAACTTTGCAGCTTTTTGCTGCGTTTTAATGGAAAAAAGAAGAAAAAAAAGAATTAAATTCCGGAAATTGCAGAAACTCACCGCCGGGGAAGTGGCTTTGCAAAGTGAACAAAGTGTTTCCCAAGGCCCAAACGCTGTCCACGAAAGGCCACAAAAAGCTGCAAAGAAGAAGAACTAAAGCTTCTTGTTCGGGATTAAAAGCTAAGTTTTCTTTTGCTGCAGCCCCCCCCTGCCGCAGCAAGATCTTGCGCTGCTCCATCAAGTCCAAAACCTGAAAAGAAAATAATTCAAAACAAGAAAAACTCTTCTCGTCACTTCCCAAGGCCACTTCAAAGAGAAGCTCTTCCCACTGCAGCAGCAGCAACAGCAGCAGCAGCAGCAACCGCCGCAGCAGCAGCAACACCGCCACCGGGCACAGCAGCAGCAGTAGCAGCAGCACCGCCAGCAGCAGCAGCAACACCGCCACCGGGCACAGCAGCAGCAGCAGCACCGCCAGCAGCAGCAGCAACACCGCCACCCGGCACAGCAGCAGCAGCAGCAGCAGCAGCAGCAGCAGCAGCAGCACCGCCAGCAGCAGCAGCAACACCGCCACCGGGCACAGCAGCAGCAGCAGCAACAGCAGCAGCAACACCGCCAGCCGGCACAGCAGCATTGCAGCAGCAGCAGCAGCAGCAGCAGCAGCAGTTGCGGACGCCTTCGAAGGAGTCGGTGTTGACTTTGTTGGCGTAGACGAAGTGGCAGCTGAGCAGCTGCAGCAAAAAGGCTGCATGCGCCTTGACAGCAGCAAGGGGGGCCCCCCTGGAGAAGGCCAGGGGGCCCCCAGCAGCAATTAAGGCGAGTGCAGCAAAGCCCTCATTGGCAAAGACATGCATGCACTGGTTGCGGTAGTAGGCCAGCAGCAGGCGGGGCAGGTGCATGCGGAGGGGCCCCTGGGGGCCCCCGGGGGGCCCCCCGGGGGCCCCCGGGGGGCCCCCCCAGTACCCTGCTGCTGCGCACCAACCCTCCCCTTTGGACTCCGCCACTTTTTCCAAATATCGCCCCAAAGCTGTTCGAACTGCAGCAGAAGGGTCGTAAGAAAAGCCGCAAATGTAGGGACTCAAGAGGCCCCCGCGCTGCAGCAGCTGGTCCCGCAGCCAGGCCACTTGCGATATCTGCAGCAGCAGCAGCAGCAGCAGCAGCAGCAGCAGCAGCAGCAGGTGCAGGGGAGTCCGGGGCCGCTTTTTGCGAAGGTTTTCGGCGAGAATTGTAGTTGAATTGGAAGTGGAATTAAATTAAAAAAGAATTTAAAATAAAACAAAATTAAATTAAAAAGAATTCAAAATAAAACAAAACTAAATTAAAAAAGAATTCAAAATAAAACAAAATTAAAAAAGAATTCAAAATAAAACAAAATTAGATTAAAAAGAATTTAAAATAAAAATTAAATTAAAAAAGAATTCAAAATAAAACAAAATTAAATTAAAAAAGAATTTAAAATAAGATTAAATTAAAAAGAATTTAAAATGAGATTAAATTAAAAAGATTTAAAATAAAACAAAATTAAATTAAAAGGAATTCAAAATAAAATTAAATTAAAAAGAACTTAAATAAAATTAAATTAAAAAAGAATTAAAAATAAAATAAAATAAAAAGAAATAAAATAAAACAAATTAAAAAAGAATTAAAAATAAAATGAAAAGAAATAAAATAAAACAAAACTAAATTAAAAAAGAATTAAAAATAAAAATTAAAAAGAAATAAAACAAAACAAACCAAATCTTCTTCGCGAATTCCGTCTTTGTGCAAAGCCAAGACAGTGGCCACCAAAGAAGTCGCCGTCACGTAAAGTCCTTGGCTCAACTTGTCCATCAGAGTGGCGGCCAAGTGGCGGCAAATCTGGAGAGAAATTGAACAAAAGGACTTAAAAAGATTCAAATAAATGCAAAAAGTTGCAATTAATTCATTTAAATCAATTAAATTAATGCAAAAAGTTCAAAGTTTTAAAAATTGCGAAAAAAGAAACCCAAAAAGTCCAAATTTACAAAAAATCGAAAAATTCAAAGTCCAACAGGCGGCGGTGGGGTGTACAGACACCCCACAGTTGCGGGCTCTTTCGCCAGTCATCAAATAAATAAATAAATAAATAAATAAATAAATAAATAAAATAAATAAATTAAATAAATAAATAAATAAATAATAAATAAATAAATAAGAAATAATAAATAATTAATTAATTATGGAGAACAATAAGAAACAAATGAATGCAAACAAAAAATGGAATCGTCAACAAGCCTGACACGCAAGAAGGCAAAAACTGCATGCAGTAAACCCTAAACCCTAAACCCTAAACCCTAAACCCTAAACCCTAAACCCTGAAGGGCAGCTGCAGCAGTAGAAAAGGAATTCCAAAAGAAGCAATTTAAAAAGTGTCGAGAGCCTTGCACACTCCTTTAACTGGTTAGGGTTTGTTAGGGTTTAGGGTTTGCTAGGGTTTAGGGTTTGCTGGGGTTTCGAGAAACCCTAAAAAAGGGTTTAGTGAGTCAAACAAAAACTTGAAAGCATTTTTACTTTTCTCTTAAGCTCTTCCGGCACTGGAGGCAAAGAGCCGCTGGCCCGAATCACAGCAAAGCTATTAGGGTTTGTGGGTTCTTGCTGCTGCTCCTCCTCCTCCACCTGCTGCTGCTGCTGCTGCTGCTGCTGCAGCAGCAGCAGCTGCTGCTGCTGCTGCTGCTGCAGCAGCTGCGGCTGCCCCGTGAGAGTGGGCAAAGAGCCAAACTGCGCCATGGGAGAAACGCAGGAGTGGCGAAGGGCCCCCAGCAAGGGTTTGAGGGGCCCCTCATCGGCCCAGTTGGAAAAGAGATAATCCTGAAAATAAATAAACAATTAAATTAAATTAATTAAATTAATTGAATTAATTAAATTAATTCAATTTAATTTAATTAATTTAATTAATTTAATTCACTAATTTGTTTGAATTCAAAGCTCTTCAAATCCGACGCAAAAAGAGCCCCGCAAACCCCAGACAGCAGCAGCTGATGAGCACCAGAAAACGCCACAAAACCCTAAACCCTAAACCCTAAACCCTAAACCCTAAACCCTAAACCCTGAAACCTGGCTGCTGAGACTCAGACGCCAGGCCCACGTGCCTGCACGCGTGCACGCCGTGATCCCTCTAACCCCAAACCCCAAACCCCAAACCCCAAACCCCAAACCCTAAACCCTAAACCCTAAACCCTAAACCCTAAACCCTAAACCCTAAACCCTAAACCCTCACCCTGAAGCTCATGGGGGGCATGACGTTGATGCTGGCGGTTCCGAAGGGTCTGTAGCCGGGCCCGAACTGCGGCGCCAAACCCCGAGAGCCTGGCGAGGGTTTGAGGGTTTGGTGGTAGGCGGGGGCGGCGAAGAGTTTGGTGGCTTTCAGGACGCGACTCAAACCCTAAATCAGCGGATAGCGCCAAACCCTCGCAGCCGCGCAAACCCTAAAACGCGGTTTGCAGCGCGTTCGAAACCCTGGGAACGAAGCGCGGGCCTCTCGAGGCGGAAAAGCACTTCAAACCCCAACAGCTCTGCCCCCTTCCGTAAACCCTAAAAAGGGGTTTAGCCACCTCTCCAAACCCCGAAGCAGCCAAACCCCAAACCCTCGAAGTCGCAGGCGCCGAAGCGCCGCCGAGCGGCTGCCGCGGGCGGCGCGGCGGCGGGTTCGAGCGCGAGGCGGAAACCCTTTTTTAGGGTTTAGGGTTTAGGGTTTGCGGGCTCACCTCGGCCTTCTTGGGCTCGCCCAGCAACTCCTGCGGAAACGTCTCCGCCTCCAAAACTCTGTCGTAAGAAATCGAAATTGGAATAAATAAAACTTCGGAGACGGAGCCGCTGAAGAGCATTTCCGCGACGCAGGAAAGCAGCCCCAGCTTGGGCGCCAGCATCAGTCCTGAGTGCAGCTTTCGCAGCAAAAGGGGCCTCTTTGGACGCAGTTTTCTCTTTTATTGCCTTTTATTTGTTCAGTTTTCTCTTTTATTTCTTTTTATTTCTTCAGTTTTCTCTAATTTGTGCAAATTAAAAAAAAAAATGAAAAAAAACGACACCCGGACACCCCAGACACCCCGCCGCACTGCTCGGGTGTACGTACACCCCGTGCTCCGCGCATGCAAAACCGCTTTCCGCCAAATTCGGGGAAATTCAAATTTTAATTCATTTTAATGCATTTTAATATGTTTTTTTGCATTTAAATGCATTTTAATGCATTTAAAATATATTTAATGCATTTTAAATGTATTTTAATGCATTTGAAACAGATTTTAAATATATTTTGATGCATTTTAAATGTTTTAATGCATTTCAATATACTTTAATGCATTTTAAACAGATTTAATCCTTTTGAAATGTATTTTAATGCAATTAAAATAGACTTAACGCATTTAGAATAGATTTAGTGCATTTGAAAAGAATTCATTTAAGCATTTATATTTTTAAACTCCTGTAGAAATTCTTTTTTTATTTTTCCCGAAAAGGGAATTAAATATTTTAAAAATTAAATTGCAAATAATTAAAAGAACAGAAGATTAAAATGGCAAATAAATGAAAAAAGAATAAAAAGGTAATTAAATAAAACGAATGAAGGCCAAAATGATATAAAAAGAAAGAATAAGTTAGATGAAAAGAAAGATTAAAATTGCAAATAAATAAAACAACTAAAGAATTAAAAAAAATATTTAAATAAAAAACCAAAAAGACTAAAAGCGCCTGAGGGGTAAAAAGCCAAAAAAGCAAAAAGTGAAAAAATAAAAAAAGAAAATAAAATAAAAGGAATGGAGAAAGCAAAAGGAGATAAATAATATTACAGAAATTAAAGAAGGACTTTTAAATAAATAAATAAATAATCAAAAAGGGAAAAAGGACTTCAATTAATGAATGAAAAAGGAGATTTGCAAATAAGCAAAAACTCCACAAAGAGACAAATACGCCAAATGAAACCAAACTAAAAACGCCAAAAAGTAAACAAAAAAGAAACAAAAAAGAACACAAAAAAGGAAACAAAAAAGAAACAAAAAGGAAGCAAAAAACAAAGAAAAAGGAGCTCAAAAAACCAAAAAAAGAATTAAAAAAGAGTAAAAAAAAGTAAAAAAAAGTAAAAAAGAATAAAAAAAGCACCTGTTTTGCTCCTGCCGCCCTCGAGGAAGACCTCGAGGACTCCGTATCTGCGGGCGACGCACTTGACGAAGAGTTGGAGAAGAAGTTTTTTGATTTTTGGAATTATTTCTTTTTCCAAACTTTCGGCTTTTGTCTTTTCGCGGGAAACGAAAAAGGCGCCGGCCCTGCGCAGCAGCTGGTGGACCATGCGAATGGCCCCGAAGGCCTCGTCTGCGGCGATGAAGGGCAGCGGCACTCCGTAGGTGAAACACACGTAGGAAATCAGCAAAAAGTCCTGCAAACGCAGCGCCGCTCGCCACAGAGCCCCCAATTCCAAAACCTTTTCCTTTTCCAGTTCAAAAATTAAAAAAAAACGAAAAAAAACGAACAAAAACGAACAAAAACGAAAAAAAACGAAAAAAAAACGAAAAGTCCAAACGCCAGGTGTACGTACACCCCAGCGCCCGCAGCGGCGCGCGCGGAAAGCGAAGCGAAAGCGGCGTCAAAAGAAGGAAAACGAACGCGAAAAAGCGGAAAAAGGAAATAAAAGAGTAAATAAAAAGAAATAAGAGGAATTAAAACGAAAAAAACGGATTAAATCGGATTTAAAGAGCCGGATCGGCGGACCATGTAGCTGCGGTGGGTGGGCAGCAGCAGCACTGGCCCCGCAGCTGTCTGTACAGCCCGCTTCAACTGCTGCATGTGAGTTTCTTCCACTATTATTCTGTCAAATAAAAAAGAAAAAGATTTCTGAAAAAGTCCCGCGAGAAGATACACCGCGTGCGGCTCGATGCTCCCCGCCATCCGGGTGTACAGACACTCCACCTCCCGCCACGCCTCCCGCGAAGCCTCCTCCGCCGCCTCTGCCACAAACCACAAACCACAAACCCTAAACCCTAAACCCTAAACCCTAAACCCTAAACCCTAGCAACTGGCAACTGAAACGGGAATGGACTTCAGTGCACAGAGGAATAAATGCAATTAAATAAATGCAATCAAATAAGTGCAATTAAATAAAGGCAATTAAATGCAATTAAATAAATGCAATTAAATAAAGGCAATTAAATAAAATAAATCCAATTAAATAAATGTAATTAAATAAATGCAATTAAATAAATAAAATGAATGCAATTAAATAAATAAAATGAATGCAATTAAATAAATGCAATTAAATACATGCAATTGAGTAAATAAAATGAATGCAATTAAATAAATGCAACTAAATAACTGCAATTAAATAAATGCAATTAAATAAATGCAATTAAATAAATGCAATTAAATAATGCAATTAAATAACTGCAACTAAATAAATGCAACTAAATAAATGCAATTAAATAATGCAATTAAATAAATGCAACTAAATAAAATAAATGCAATTAAATGCAACTAAATAAATACAATTAAATAATGCAATTAAATAAATAAAATAAATGCAATTAAATAATTGCAAGAATGCAACTTCGGAACCTGCAAAGAAGGAAGCGTTTGGAAACCGCTATTTGGGGTTTAGGGTTTATGTGGTTTAGCATTTGCAGCGTTGCAGCGCGCCGGTGTTGTGAGGGCTGGTGAAACCCTAATTTAGGGTTTAGGGTTTGCAGCGTTGGAGCGCGCTGGCGGTGGTTTGCAGCGAAACCCTCATTTAGGGTTTAGGGTTTAGGGTTTGCAGCGTTGGAGCGCGCTGCGGTGGTTTGCAGCGAAACCCTAATTTAGGGTTTAGGGTTTAGGGTTTGTGCGCGTACGGGGGCTGGGGTTTTGTCGCTTGTTTTTGCGGGCGAGGCGCTGCGCCGCGAGGGTTTGGACGAGGGTTTGGAGTTGAGGGTTTTGAAGAACAAACTGCGAAAGAGAAGAAGGGTTTGGCGAGGGTTTGAGGGGCGGAGCTGCTGCCACGAACTGCAAACAAGAAAACCCTCCCCAAACCCTAAACCCTAAATCAGCGGATATCAACGGAGTGTCCATCAGGTACCGCTGCAGACAGTCCATGTACAGCAGGGGCGGAGTCGGGGGCTCGCAAGCTGCAAATAAATAAATAAATAAATTAATTAATTAATTAATTAATTAATTAATTAATTAAATTCAAATTAATTAATTTAATTAATTTAATTAATTTAATTAAATTAATTAAGTTAAATTAAATTAGTTCAATTAGTTTGATTTGTTCGGGTCGTTTGATAGGTTTAATTCGTTTAATTAATTAGTTAATTAATTAATTCATCAAACTAATCAATTAACTGAATTAACTCACTTTATAAATAAATAAATAAATAAACAAATAAATGAATAAATAAATAAATAAATAAATAAAATACATAAAATAATTAATTATTTATTTATTTTAATTAAATGGTCTGAGGGCCCTTGAAGAGTCCATTTGGGAATTTCAAAAAATAAAAAACTAAATCGAAAAGACAAAAAGAATTAAAAAACGAAAATAAAAGAATACACAAATAAATAAATAAATGAATATATGAATAAATGAATAAATAAATGAATAAATGAATAAATAAATGATTAAATGAATAAATAAATAAATAAATAAATAAATAAATAAATAAAAATTAATTAATTAATTAAATGGACTGGGGGCTCCTTAAGAAGCCACTTGGCAATCCCGTAAAAGAGTGAAAATATAAATGGCCAAAAAGGAAATAAAAAAAGAAAATAAAAAAAACAATTAATTAATTAATTAATTGTTAATAAAGAATTAATTAATTAATTAATTGATTCTTTAATTAATTAATTAATCAAAGAATTAAAGAATTAATTGATCAAATAATTAATTAAATGACAATTAATTGAATAAATAATTATTTAATTCGCCTGACAAAAGAATGAAAGTTTAAATAATCAAAAAGGACCCAAAAAAGACCAAAATAAACCCCAAAAAAGCCCAAAAAGAGCCAAAAGAATCAAAAAAAGCAAATAAAAAGAAGAAATAACCAATCAATTATTTATTTATTTATTTATTTATTTATTTATTTATTTATTTATTTATTTATTTATTTGACCTGAAGGCTCTTTAAGGAGCCATCTGGCGATTCCGTAGAAGAAAGAACGGATGTACAAACAGTCCAAAATGACTCAAAAAAACCCGAAAAAGACCCAAAAAAGCTCAAAATAAACCCAAAAAAAGCCCAAAAAGAGCTAAAAAGAGGAAATAAAAAGAATAAACAAATAAATAAATAAATAAATAAACAAATAACTGACCTGAGGGCTCTTTAAGGAGCCATCTGGCGATTCCGTAGAAGAAAGAATGGATGTACAAACAGCCCAAAAAAACTCAAAAAAACCCAAAAAAGACCCAAAAAAGCTCAAAATAAACCCCAAAAAGCCCAAAAAGAGCTACAAAAAGAAATAAAAAGAATAAATAAATAAATAAATAAATAAATAAATATTTATTTTACCTGAGGGCTCTTTAAGGAGCCACCTGGCGATTCCGTAGAAGAAAGAATGGATGTATAAATAGTCAAAAAAAACCAAAAAAGACCCAAAAAAGACCAAAATAAACCCAAAAAAAGCCCAAAAAGAACTAAAAAAAGGAAATAAAAAGAATAAATAAATAAATAAATAAATAAATAAATATTTATTTTACCTGAGGGCTCTTTAAGGAGCCACCTGGCGATTCCGTAGAAGAAAGAATGGATGTATAAATAGTCAAAAAAAACCAAAAAAGACCCAAAAAAGACCAAAATAAACCCAAAAAAAGCCCAAAAAGAACTAAAAAAAGGAAATAAAAAGAATAAATAAATAAATTAATAAATAAATAAATAATTATTTTACCTGAGGGCTCTTTAAGGAGCCATCTGGCGATTCCGTAGAAGAAAGAATGGATGTACAAACAGCCCAAAAAAACTCAAAAAAACCCAAAAAAGACCCAAAAAAGCTCAAAATAAACCCAAAAAAAGCCCAAAAAGAGCTAAAAAAAGGAAATAAAAAGAATAAATAAATAAATAAATAAATAAATAAATAATTAATTTACCTGAGGGCTCTTTAAGGAGCCACCTGGCGATTCCGTAGAAGAAAGAATGGATGTATTCTCTCCAGTTGATGTTCTGTACGGAAACGGCCCACTGGGCCCTTTCTTGCGGCGAAAGCATGCGGTGTATGTACACCGCGTTTTGCTGCTCGAAAACCCACTCTTGGTAAGAAAAGGGGTGCAGCGCAGCAGCAGCTTTTTCGGCTTTTTGGAGACCCAGCAGCAGCAAATCGAGGCCTTTCTGCAGCTGCGAAGCAGCAGGAGCCACGCGCCCCAACGAGTGCCACAGCAGCAAACTCGGCAGCTTCTGCTGCACGAAAAAACGCCTGCAAACAACCCCCACACATCCTCCTGCTGCTGCTGCTGCTGCTGCTGCTGCTGCTGCTGCTGCTGCTGCAGCAGCAGCAGCAGCAAAACCGCAGCAGCAACAGCAGCAAAACCGCAGCAGCACCAGCAGCAAAACCGCAGCAGCAGCAGCGAAACCGCAGCAGCAGCAGCAGCGAAACCGCAGCAGCAGCAGCAGCAAAACCGCAGCAGCAGCAGCAGCAGCAGCAGCAGCAGCAGCAGCAGCAGCAGACCGCTGGAACTGTTTGAAGTCTGTGTCGAAGAAGGGAGTGGTCATGTGTCTCTTGACTCTGGCGTAAAAGGGACACAACATATTATATTCTCTTCCGTGGACTAAAAGGTCTTTCCAGAATGTGGGGTTTAAGTCGCTGCTGCAGCAGTGGACCACGTAGACTCCGGGCCTTGCTGCTGCTGCTGCTGCTGCTGCTGCTGCTGCAGCAGCGGGGGCCACGGCCGGCGCTGCGGCGGACGCGCCCACGTGCGCGGCGCCAGGCTGCTGCTGCTGCTGCTGCTGCTGCTGCTGCTGCTGCTGCTGCTGCTGCTGGTGCTGCAGCGGCGGCAGCTCGGCGGGGCGCAGGATGCAGCTGGGGTCCACGTGGCTTGCTGCTGCGCGCGTTGCTGCTGCTGCGACGGTGTCGTCTGCTGCTGCTGCTGCTGCTGCTGCGCTGCTGCCCGCCCGCTGCAGCAGCAACGCGTTCGAAGCAGCAACAGCAGCAGCAGCAACTATCAAAGAATCCGCCACCACATCCACCGGCACTTGGTCGCCAATGAACTCGGGGTTTGCAGGCAAACACCGCAGAATCCCCAGCGCGCCTGACAACAAACCCTAAACCCTAAACCCTAAACCCTAAACCCTAAACCCTAAACCCTAGTCAAAGCCTGGGCGCCGCAAACCGAGCTTTCAAACACTCAAAAAGAAACCAGCAGCAGCAGCAGCAGCAGCAGCAGCAGCGTGGCTACGA